CATTTCTTGGAATTCGGTAGATCAAATAAACATAAACGTTTCATTTATTATTCAATCCTGTCCAATAATTTACAATATTCTAACGTAAATTATCTAATAAACAAGTTTTCAATTTGCATAATACTACAACAGAGTTTATTAACGATCTTTCGTCATATTTTATTGTTTTATGTGTATATGTGTGTTATGTTTTGTTGATTATGTGACAAAAGTAATGAGCTTGAAATTAAATCTACATTTCAATGAAATATACGGAAGAACGAGATGATTTATTTCTTAACATTTGAACGAGGACACAAATGGCTGCCAAGGTAATCGAATTTATTATTGAAAAGAAAAAGGAAAATACAGAAGATATAGAGTGGAATGCGTCTTGCTTGTAAACGTCTTTGGAAAAACAATTCCGGAACGCCGCGGGACGTATTTTTGCTACGATCTAACGTTCCCTAGACACCTGTGAGAACACAGAGTCCGCGGTTTTCTTGCACACGAGTTTTATCCCTTTCTTTCTCTTTCTTATTCTTCTTTCTTTGTTAGTTAAGAGAAATCCACTGGCATATCGACGAAGACGACGTGACAAGTTCACTAAACTCAGCAAATGTTGATCGTTGGCCACTGACAATTTCGTTCACGAGTTTTATCCAAGAAAGAGGAAGACAAAAAATGGAAACTAACTCGATCTCACGATCCAAAGTGAAGATTAATGATTTGTTGCATCAATACGTGTTATGAAAAATTAGTTTTCCGAAGCATTTTTCATTTGAATAAAAATTCGATTCAACAAGGTGTTAGTAAAGAATAAAAATACAAAAGATCGTCTATGTTCAGGTAAAAATCATTAAATACGTTTTTTTGGGTACCAAATGATTTATGTATTTTTACAATGTTGCATACAATTTTTTGTAAACAAACCAATTTATTACCTATTACTTTATTTAAAAAAAAAAAAACATCGTCTGAATGTATCAACAAAAAAGAATACTTCAACGGAAAACTTGATTTTTCCGGTTAAAAATTTGTTTGACGAGCGATAATTCATATTAACATAAATATTAGTTAATGACATTTTCTTAAAACATAAACGATACATCAACGATTTTAACATATTCGAGAAGCTCATTGTAAGCATTAAAAAAAAAACAATAAGTTTTTTAAGGGAGCAAATACATAAGAAAAGAAAGAGGATGTATAATAATATAATACAATGGTAGGTAGAAAAGAAATTCATCTATATAAACGGGGAACACGACGAACAAGCAAGAAATCAACTACGGGGAACTACCGTAAAAAAAGAATAATAAAAAAGAAGGACGAGCTGGGTCCTATTGTCGAATATGGACACCCCGCTGTGAGAATGTCACGGGGATAAAATGACGCTTTAATAATACTGATTAAACTCAGTATTGTGCACCAACCAAACGACTTTTTCTAAGTCGTCGATCGAACATCGAAGGTGTCGCGCTTACTTCTATGACTTTTTTATTTTTTTTCCTTTTTTTTTTTAGATTCACTGTATTCCTCGAACGTCAACGAGAATTTGAGTGTCATGTTGTCGCTACCACTATTATATCCTACTATTCAAGATATTGAAAAGGTTTTCTTTTCACTGACTTGACTTTATTCGAGAAAGTCGTTCATGTTCAACGATTTATCTAATTGTTCGGAAAATTATTATTATTATAAATAGTAATGTTGTAAATTAAATCACGTGGAATCAATCGTGTGTGACAAAAGATTTATATATTATTTGATTTATTAAAGTACTATAAAAATGTTCCAAAGGTTAACGAATTTGATTGGAATTAAATAAAAGTGAACAAATCTATGAATGTTTTTTGAAACATCATCTAATCAAATTAACGCTATAATTGATGAGCACTTTCCTGATAAGACTCTTTATTGGAACATTGAAAAGAAACTTGTTACGATGATCGTTTACAACTTAACATCTTAACACGTTGAAATCTGAGACCCTAATTAAAAACGACCTCCACTATAATTTGTCTATTCGAGGTATCAACAAAAAATGAATAAAAATTAAAAATAGGCCAATGAATTCTAAAGACGTTAATTAGACATGACCTAACAACCATATGATTAATATAAATATACATCATCTTGTAAAGTTAATGAATTTCTTTTGATGATAACGCATGATGCGTATTTACAAAATAAAGGATAGTGGGGGAGGGAGAAGGGGAAAAGAAAAGAAATGAAAATAAAAAAAAAATTAATTAGGATCGGTCTACTCCTCCTCGTTACGTTAGTTCCTGAAAGTCTATATTTGCGGTGTCTAAAAAGGACGAAGGAAATTAGATTCGCCGCCCTTCAATTCCAAGAATTAAAAACCATTTGTAGTGCGCGCGGGACAAGCGCGAGATCGCGAAGACAAAGATGGCGTCGAACAATTTTTTTACGACGGAACAAGTTTCGTGTCCTCTTCAAGTAGAATATATATTCCTCTACCGGGTGGCACGCCTCATTCCGTATAAGCGCCGATCGCGGTAAATTTATGGTAATTGCCTTTTCTACCTGTCAGAGACGTTCTTTCTTCTCTCTTTCTTCTCTCTTTCTTCTCTCTTTCTCTCTCCTTCTCCTCTCCCTCTTCATTCTCTTCGTTCGTACTCTCTAGCTTATCTCCGCGTTCCTTTCATTAAAGAACTGACCTCGTAAGAAGAGTTCGGAAAGCAGGATGCCATTATCATCGACCTAACATCGATAAACCGTAAATTGGATTCTCACGATACATACACAACAAGGTGCTACTTTAAAGGGGGGTTAGAAGAAGATGAAGAAGAAAAAGGAGTCAGACAAAGAGAGAGAGAGAGAGAGAGAGTGAGAGAGAGAGAGGGAGAGATCGTTGGATCAAATGTCAACAAGAAATGAAAAGAATTCATTGACTAAGAAAAATAATCTAACTGATTAGTCGTCCCCCGTTCATTATTTGCCGCTTTCTTCTTTGATAATATTAACTAGGAAGAATACGAGAAAGCGATAAGACGAGTCAGATAAGATTTACCAAAAAAAAAATAGTACATTGCTAAATCTAACATAAATGAAGAAACATTTACGTAATTACAGAGAACTTATTTTATCGATTATGCTTAATAATAACATAGGATTATTGTGTAACAATAAGCGTCAGTGATATCGTTTGAGGACAAATTAATAAATGAGATAAAGTTAGTGTGACACAGAGAGAGAGAGAGAAAAAGAGAGGGAAATAGATTATAACATACCAGCCGTAAATCTGTGAGGAAAAATCCTACCATGTCTTGATAATAGCCAAGGATATAGAGGATAACTGTCTCTTGCTGGTTGATGAGTATGAGGTGGAGGATGTGGTCCAGCCGGTGCGCCACCGTGCGGATAAGGTCCATGAGGTGTAGCGTGAGGAGATGCACCGTGATGCGCTTGAAGAGCAACAGCAAGATTTGCCGCTTGAAAGTGCTGAGCAGCAGCAAGATTGGCAGCGAGTGCTAACTGTTGGGAATGATATTCGTTCTGGCCGGTCTGAGGTGCCGTCGGTCCGTGTCCAGGTGGTATTCCATAAAGAGACTTTAGTTGTTCGGCTGCGACGGCTGCTGCAGCCGTAACGGCACCAGGCGGTGGTGCTAGGTAGTTTGGACTCGGCCTTACAACGCCAGGAGGTGGCTGAGGATGAGAGCTTACAGGTGAATCACCGTGTCCTGGTATCCTATGTGGTGGACTCGGACTATCGTTCGGAGTTGAGCCACCGCTGTGACTGAGAACGGTACTCTTACCGAAGTCTAATTGATTGCTACCACCGAGATGGTGATGATGATGATGATGGTGATGTCCGTGATGATTCGCGTGATGGTGGTGGTGATGATGATGGTGATGATTATTATTATTATTATTATTGCCGGTAGTCGCGTGGGATGGTGTCCTTCGCGGATTATTCGTATAGGATTCTACGGAGGAACTACGTGATACAGGTCGATCGGAACCTTCCGAATGAGCACCAGGTGATCTAGTTGCAATGCCACGTGACTTCGGCGACGAGGAGGCCTCGACGAGTTCCATCGGACTCCCATCATCTCGTTCAATTTCGACACGATGATCCAAACGATCTTTTCCAGTAATTCGATCTTCGATGACACGACCAGCCTGTACACCAGGACCGCCGCCGGTACCGGCACCACCGCCACCTCCACCACCTCCGCCACCGACGATCGAGTCGATGCTGAAGCCGATCTTTGGCTTCGAGGGTACCGGAACGATTGGCGTCGGCGCGAGCGGCATCATCGTACGATTATCGTACGGCTCGCCGAAGAATTCCCCACTTTTTTGCTTAGACCTAACGACAACTATTAACCTCCTGCTCGCACCAAATGGATCCTCGAAATTAGATCTGATGCATTTTTTATAATTGTAACACGCGTGATCGAATTTCGTTCGAGTCTCGTTAACATTCGCGGACCGGAAACTCAAAAAAATAATTTGAAAAAAAGAAAGAGAGGAAAAGAGAGAGAGAGAGAGAGAGAGAGAAAGAGAGAGAGAGAGACAGACAAATAGATAGAAGAAAAAAAAAGAAAGGAAAAGGAATTCAACGGGATCCTTTCTTCGGATAAATTTCTAGGTAAGATTCCCCGCAGTGAGGCCTAACGGCTCTCATTCAAAATTTCCAAGTCATCTCCGAAACACATTCGTTCGTATTATACACTGCTGCGTCGCACACTGAAGAAATCTAAATCACAGCAAAGTAGTAATAGTTGCCTCCAAACCTTCGTTTATTTTCCCTTTACGTTTTAAATCTTTATTTATAACGTTTAATCATTCCAGCAGGGCACACTTAACGAACTGGGTCTGTCACTGCACACTGTCACAATTACAGGGGTAGGGAGGGGGTCGCGCACGAGCCCACCAAAAACTCGTAGTCCTCGTCGAACTTGATAACGAATGATTATTGTGATTAATAAATTATAATAAAATGATCTATCACTTGAAATTTAAGCCTCGAACAGGACCGTTGACATTTTGTTGAATTATTTTTATTTTGCAAATACCGCGTGTGTTAAAAAAAACCGTCGTACGGATTTTTCTCTTTCTCTCTTTCTTTCTCTTGCTCGTCGTTCTCTCTGACGGATGATGCTTCTGGCACGAGAGCTTGCTAGTGTTTGAGCAAATTACAGGCTAAACGAGGCGCTCCCGCTCGACGGTGGGGGAACGCGTAGCAAGTTAACGCGTATCCCCACTTTTCAACTTGTTCCTGACTACAGGACCCTTAGTGGGGTAAAACAGCAACCACGAATGGGCGTTACTATATCATACCGAGGCCGATGTTGAGGCGTACCCTTGCTACAACCCGATTGGTCCGTACTGCAACCTTCGAACTAAAGCTACCTCGATTTCTCGCCCGCTACGTGGATGCTGCGACGAGTGGGGCAACGCATTTAGTCGACGATGGGCGTTAAACTCGCGTTTTTGTCCTACGATGAAAATGAGCCGTTTAATTAATACGTCTGCCTCCGTCTCTCTCTCTCTCTCTCTCTCTCTCTTTATCTCTCTTTTACCCTCTTACTCTTACTCTTACTCTATGCTTTCTCTTCTCTCACAGTTGGCTTCCATTTCTTGGCTTTTTTTTTCTCTCCCATTTGTTTTTTCTTTTTCTTCGACAAAAGGGATGAACCAAATCGCACGTTTTTCTTTCTCTATTTCTATTCTTTTTTAATTTCATTTCTTTCTCCGACCGGCCTTTCTTTTTTGAACTTAACCTTTCTTCTTTTGTTCTGAGAAAAACGAACAAAAAATCATGTTCAAGTCGAATTCCTTTGGTAAGTTTAATTTATTTGTCACCAGTAATAATTTAAAAACGGACTATATGTATATATACTTATTTATTTAAAAACCAGAAAAATTAAATACCACGAAATACATTTTATCTGTCCATGGATTTAAATAAAGAATTTGTAAGGATAACTACTTACGAAACTCTTTTGTGAAGGGTCATTTTCTTAAGTCTTTCACTGTAATTTCAATAAATGGTTAACAAATTCTATTACTTGCGCAAGGATAAAATTATATCAAATTTTAATATTACAGAAATGAAATCGAGACTGGTTGTTATTTGGTTGGTGTCTTATTAGCACTTGTCAGTCGTATTGTAAATTGGCCTTTTCGAATTACTTGACTCGAACAAAAATTGTTCTTATATTTATATTTTATATTTTTCTTTTCTTATCTTTCTTTATTTCTTTCTTCTTTTTTTACCCATAGAATTACTTATATCGTACTTTTCAAAAGCATTGACCGTCGTTGAAATTCCAGATCGAGAGCATAATATACCTACACCGTAATTGGCGGTGATGTAGGTGCTCGAAGCAAATCGGTGATAATTATCAAGAACGTAACGGTGAAACGATACGAAGCCCATAATTCGATCGATGTAATTATGTAATTAAGACGTCCGTAGTACCGTCGCTCGTTCTATCACAATATGTACCAAAACTAACGTAATATCTTAGAAACTATGCAACCATACATAATATATATATATATATATATATATANTATATATATATATATATATATATACTTACATATTAGATATTTATATATCTCGTCAACGTGATCTTTCAGAAATTTAGATCAATAATAAAGTGTTACAACACATAACGGATACCTTCCATTAAAATGATAAATATCTGCACTTAACATTATCGTGTTAAATTTATATTAATTTTACCTAATAAAAATAATCAAAATGGATCTAAAATATCACCTACGAGTCAATAAAATTAGTTAATCTAATAATACATGATCGAAACAAAAATTTGTTTCCAATGAAACCGATTGATTGCTTAATGAATTTACATATCTTTCTTTCAATTCAACATATTAGTTATTAGTATACTGAATGTGTAAAATATTTTTTTTTATCAAAAATTACAGATTAAGAAAAGAAAATGTTTACTTTTATCTATTGACATTTTTATGTTATTGAAAAATAAGACAATCTAACAATAAAATAGGGTAGTCAGAGTTGCGTCAGGATTGCATCAGACAAATGCAGATTAAGTGCACATATTTAAAAATATAGCACATCAAAGACAATTTTATTAATTGCAAAATGTTTTCCCTAAAAATACATTTAAATAATCAAACTAGATTCCATGCCTTTTTAACAGGTTATATAATTATCATAATTACAACGCAAACAATACTAAAATATATAATTGCAAAAAATTAGTCCCACTCATCTCAGATTGTCTTATTTTTCAATAAAGCAAACATACCATAAGAATAAAATCCCATACAATCAACATACCTACTATACACGAATTAATACCAATTAAAAACTATCGAACCTAACCGAAAAAACAATATTATTTTCTATCAAATACACAATTAATGTTTTATTTTTTATTATTATTGAAACTCAGAACTTTTCAACTCACCTAAATAACATAACCTATAATACTAATTCAATTAAAAAAAAAAAAAAAAAAATAATAAACATTTGATTCAAAGTTACAAGACATTAGATTTGATGATAGACACTTAGCACGTATGAGGACGTTTTTCCTAATCTAATTCCCCGAAGGTGTCGCGGCGTTCATTTGGACTCGAAGAGCCGAGGAGGCTCGGCTTCTTTCCCCCCTTCCCTCATTCGCACGCGAACGATAGAGCCCTACCCTTTCCACGCAAGAAACCAGCCCACATGGCGGAGCTGCTGAAGTTTGCTTTCTCGCCCTACCGAGGAGAGGCTGCTTTAGTCGGCACCGTCTCTCTCCAACGAGCGAGAAAGCAGGTGTGTTGGTGCCCTCGGCCACGTGTGTACTCGAAGAGGGGATGTTCAACATGGCGACTGTGTACACATAGCGCGCGATGCTGCACCAATGCGCGAGCACCGATCACGCCCGTTTCATTCTACCTATACTCTTCTTCTATTTTCTTCTTCCAACGGCTTCTTCCTTTACTTTTTCTCATATCTTTTATCTTTCTCTCTCTCTCTCTCCCTCATATTCTTTCTCTCTCTCTGTGCCTCTTTATCTTTCTTTTACTTTCTTTCTTATTCCTTGTCTTTCAATACGTCTGAAAAACGTTTCCTGTACAGTTTCATTTTATTCGAGATCACATTTGGCATCGGCACTTTTCGCATAAACGCTCGACGAATAAAAGAGGGTGAATCGGTGTATTTTGTTACTATGTTATCAAAAGAACAACTCTGTCTACCACCCCTCGCAATATATCTATATATATATATTTATATGTGTGTGTGTATGTGTGTATATACTTCTCAACACCATTTACAAAATAACGTTCCATGTGACTAATCGACTGGCAATCATTTTTTTTCGGAATAATGCCGTTAAGTTCGAACATAAAAAAAGTTCTAACAAAAAAGACCATTGAATTTGAAATAGAGGGATGCATTGTTCGATCATTGTATATGAATACTTTGTCGATATACAATTTTTTCCCAAAAAAGGAAATCCTATGAAGAGAATTGAAGAAAAGAAACAGAAAGAGAGTAAAGTATGCTTTCACAATATATTTTTGAGGTAAGGATTTTTTAACGAGACCGTTTGTTTGCGACACGCGTCGATTTTAAATCAAAGCGTCGCGACGGTACGACGATTTAAAACGAGACGTGGTGAATCTTTCTAACATTTCCAACACAATTTTTATTCTATTGCCAACGTTTCATTCGTTATATCCAACATATCCTATTTTTTTTTTTTTTTGATATACGTACTTCATATAAATATTCCCTAAATAAATGATAATATTATTTTATACGATTTATTATTTTAACAGCTTAACCCTAAGAATTTTTGTTCATTCTATACAATAATTATAAAAAATAAAAATAACGAGTTGCACAATAAATGTCACGCATATATCAATAATTATTTTGCAATAATATTTTTAAACTCATTTGCATATGTATTTACAATACATTGACAATTATATTTTTAATAATGCAATAGATTATTTTTGATGGACTTAAAATATAAAAACAAAAACACAAACTCGAAAAAGAGAAGTTGTACAATTATTCAACTGTTGCAACTAAAGTTTTAATTAAATTCAAAATGGTAAGCAAGATCGTATAAAGAGCATAATATAATATATATTTTTTTTTCTTCTTTTATTTTTTAGCATTTGATTATAATACAAGGGCAAATTGAAAAGTGTTCGCATAGATCGAATTACTCAAAAAAAATGGCGTGACACTTAATCAACTCGTTTATTCACCGATCAACGAACAATTGTCGTAGTTTAAAAAAAAAAAAAAAACGAGAAAACTTTTTTGTTCCTTCCAGACTCCCCTTTTTTCTTGCTATATGCTGTATACTATATATATATACCTGTATATTGTTCTCACAATGAATGCTGGGAGAGTTCGCTTCGGTGCGTATCGATTTCCGTGTTACAATTATAATAAGCTCGTAATGCCAGTATAATGGAAGCACGAGACTATTTTGGTGTCCCGTAGAGAAGGACTCTACAGTCGAAGAAAACTGGACACACAGAGTCCTTTCATCTTTCTCTTTTTTTCTTTCTTCCATTCCCTTATTCGTTCCAAGTGGTATTATAATACCCTAGCCTATAAATTCGAACAAAAAAGTTATAAACGGTTACAAGGTTTCCTAAGGGATCTTTTTAACACCCTTAGTAGTATAATAATAATAATGATGATAATGAATCGAAATAAAAAAAAAAAGAAGAAATAAAAGAAAATATTATTGTTAACAAATAAAAATCAACAAGAAAATAATATCAAATCTTTTTCAATGTTGTATTTTGTTAAAGTTGACTCTGTGAGAAAAGAAAAAAAAACAAACAAGTAATAGACCAATTGTAAATCTGACGAATTAGAAGATGAGAACCACTGAATATTCGCGGTCTCTGTATCTTAAATAACCGGTCACCGGCGATGATTTTCTTGGAACGACCAACGGCCCGATTAAATTGATTCGCTAAGCCGAACACCGACGGTCAGGTAATGTAAGAAAGAAAGAAAGAAAGAGTGAAAGAGGGAAAGAGAAGAATGAAGGAAGGGCCAACATAAACGAGCTCGTGGCACGGATTTGCACGCGGTACGTAAAGTTTGAACGAGCTCAGGACAAACGAGGAGGTGCATCGTGATAGTCGCTCTAAGTGCATACATTTTATTCAATCTTTCTTACCATTTTTATCACCATCTTTTTTTTCGAATGTATCAGTGATGACACGAGGAAAAAGAATCAATTTAAAAAATGTGAAT